GATTCCACAACTTTATTAAATGAATGTTCCACCTCAGTTCCCCTCCCCCACATGCGAGTTGCGACGCAAACAGGGCACCTGAAAGGCAGCTGCCATCTCAGCCAGTTTAGCCCTCTGCTTTTGCATCATTTCCAAGGGTTCTAAGAGGCGAGTGCATCCCCAAGGGGGACTTCTTCCTCACAGCTAATGATGAATGCTGGTGTTGCTAAGATCCAGCAGGATAATCCCAGCTTGTATTCAAAATGGGCTTAAACTCATTAGAGAACTGCATCATAAGTTAGCCTGGCCCGTTTGGGCTCGAGAGATTCCTACATTTGTTTAACCCCTGGTCCCAGCCCAGAAGGAACTGTGGGGAATTCATTAGATCAGCGTTTCCCAATCTGGTCCTTGGGGACCCATAGACAGTTCATGTTTTTGGTCACTGGGACTTGGGAGGGAGCGAAAGTGTGGACTGTCTGGCAGGGAGCTAGGAGGGAGCAAAAATGTGGACTGTCTGGCAGTGAGCTAGGAGGGAGCAAAAATGTGGACTGTCTGGCAGGGAGCTAGGAGGGAGCAAAAATGTGGACTGTCTGGCAGGGAGCTAGGAGGGAGCAAAAATGTGGACTGACTACGGGTCCCCAAGGACTGGGGTGGGAAGCACTGCATTAGAAGATCGCACCTCACATTTCCTTATGTAGATAACACCCCCCACCCCTGCCAGTCGGCTGCCCCTCTGCAGGACGCCAACCGCTGGAGCCACTTTGAAATGTTTTCATTAGGCAAACGCTGTGTGAGATGAAAATGAAAACATCACTCAGAACATATGCTTGCGCCTGCCCCCATCCCAGCATCGCTCTTTCCTGTAAAACCCATCATCTATTTGCAAAACTTACCCCCATAATGCAGTGAAGCTTTAATATAAGGCAAAAATAATGCAAACCCAATAATGTAGGTGGACACTGGCAATGTGGCTGGAACACAGGACCATTTCAGCAGAATACACGATGCACCTAATATTATCCGTGGGAACGCCTACCTCTTGCACCCCCTGCTGCACACAACGACAGGATCCTTAGTCATAAGGTGGCATTGGGCGTGTATAAGGGACCCACATGATGCTGAAAACTGGGGATATGGTTGGCCATGACTCACTGTAATGACTCACTGTAGTGACTCACCGTCTATCTGTAATGCAATGGGTTCAAATGGGCAAACACCCCAGTGGCTGAAGTGGAACTCTTCAGATCAGGTTCCCATTAACCAGCGCAAAAAAAAGTCCTGACATAGAAAACCAGCCCTCACCCATCATTACAGCACATTTCCTCATGCATCATTTGCAGAGACGCTGCAGACCAGACAATGTTCCTCACTGAGTCATTTTTTTCCCCTTCACTAGTCGTTTTGTTTGCGGTGGTTACATGAGATGGTCATGTGACACAACACGTATTTGTCAGAAATATGGCCAAATGAGGCTACATTTTAAGGAGAGGTTGACATGCATGGATGCACTCACACACACACACACGCACACACACACACACACACCCACACACACACACACCCACCGACATATGTAGGGTAAACATATCCTTATGGGGACCGCTCATTCATTTCAATGGGAAAAATGCTAACGCTAACTATGACAACCTTAATCCCTACCCTGCCCTAACCATAACCATAAGTAACAAAATACAAGAGTTTTTGCATTTGTATTTTTTTCATAGCAGTCACCAATTTTTATAAAATAGAGTTTTCCCTTATGGGGACCAGGAAACCAGGAAACACACACACACACGCATGTTTGCTGTTTTGACACATGCTGGATAAGCAGTAGGGAGACAGGGGAACATATATCTAATCTATCCCAGATAGCCTATTTTAGAAGGAACATGTTGTGAGGCTGGTATGCCTGACAACACCTGAGATTTCAAGGTGTTTCCTACACTGGCGTGAGCGGAACAGCGAATGCCGCTCCTGCTGTGCGTGTGCGTGCAGCTTGCATGTTCTGCCTGTGTAAGACGTGCTTTCTCCTGCAGTCCAAAGTCGTGATTAGCCAAATTGGCATCTCGATATTGCCTATAGTGATGGACTCACCCCCCCACCCCATTCAACAGATCCCATGCCTCGTGCTCTGGGAAAGGCTGCAGGCCATCCACGACCGGTTGGAGGCGGTTGGAAGGCGTTTTTTTGTCAGCATTTCGGAATCGGGATTCAGTAGCAGTGCAGTACTGCGACTACCCACAGAGCCCCAAAGGCAGGGCTTGACAGTCAGAGAAAACGACTTCAGAGAGCAGCCGTAACGTCCGTGACTGAAGCTGGAGTCCGCCGCTGGAGCAGCGGCGCGTGAAGGATCTTTTCCGGCGTTGGTGAAAAAACAAGCGACAGCCTCGGGACTAAGGGAGGAAGCAAAATGACTTCGGTGCGGGAAATAAAGACACTGCGGAGCTCCCGCGCAGAATTAAAAACCTGTCCCGTGCCACAGGAGCACTGCATGGAGATCCCCGCTGTGAAGTAAACAGGAGCGAGGCAGCCTCTGCTTAGGGGAGACTCAGGCATCCTGGCATTCAGATTTGCACATCCCACCTACATCACTGAACGCCCTCATTGTCCGGTACCCGGCTTCCCTGCAATCTGATATTTTCTCTATTAATTTAGCAGCAAGAGTAACTGAGATGGGAGACGTGGTTTTTGAGAGGCTGGAGATGCATGTATTCTGCGTCCGCAGAAGGAAAGCCTTAGTTTGTTCACTACTCCAGATGCTGCAAAAAAAAAAAGAAAATGAAATGAGAGAACAGCAGCACAGCCAATAAGCATAGAAAGTACACAAATCCACCATAGGTACAGATATAAAAAATAAGCCAAGCCGAGAACTTTGAACGAACATCAAACGCCAAAACAAAACAGCACACATAAAACCCAAACCGTCACCTATACCATCTGTACATATCTGCTTGTAAGGTACAGGGTCACCATGACATTGGAGCCCATCCCAGGGACCGCAGGTCAGGAGGTAGTAGACCTGTCCCATCTCATTAACCTTTCCTGGAATCCATTAAGTCTTCAGGCTCGTCCACCTGTTTGTTAAACCCAAAAACCGAAGTACACATCCCATCCGCTGGAGATGTGCCGTCTTAACTAAAGTGAGGTGGTTTGCGCTTTGCGGCTGGGCTGCTAATGCTGTCGCGCTGTTATTGCTGCCCCATCCCTCACGTGGGTCCATTCCCACCGAAGACGGATTCGCGACGAGGAAGGAACACGAGCTTCGTATGAACAGAAAGATATCTGGGTGACACCCAAAGCTCAGGCGAAGCCGACGGGAGAGATAAGTGAACTACAGCATTCTCGGCACAAACATGCAGGGCGCCTCCACGCCGTAAACCTGTCCCGGCAGCGGGAGAGAGAGACGGAATGATGATTAAAGGGATAGATGAAACCCTCTGGGGGCAGAGGTGGGGGGCTTTGCTGATGGAGCTGGCACCAGGATCCTTATCGCTGGCCCTGCTTGCCATCGGCCCCCGTAGCCGGCGTCAGGAGCCGAGGCCGATAGCGTTCCCTGGAGATTGGGGCTAGATAACGGGCAGAGAGGCCCGGATGGCAAGGTGGGAATCAGAGACACAGGGCCACACAGAGGTTCTGCACGATCAATGTCTGTCGGGTCCTGCTGGTGTCAGACAGGGGGGCGGGAATCTTCCAGGATGAAAATAAAGGTCTTTTTCAAAAAGATCTCCCTCCTGCTGCTCTGGTGACACGGAAAGTGTTCGGTGTGGTGCTCACAATCAGGGCTGCAGCAGGTGCATTGGTGAAGGCTGCAGCCTTGAAGGCTGTGAGCTCATATCCCGAGAATGCCCCCTCAGCGGCATAATCAATCCACTTAACGTGACTCCCTTCTGTGAGTGAAGCATAACTGAAATGTGCTGGTGAGTGATATTTGTAATGAGCTGAGACCTTCGGCCACTGGACTGTTCCCTGTGGTCACAACAATTCCCTCACAGAGATTTCTGAGCAGGTAGCTGTTCTTTCATACACACGTATCTCTGCATTATTGACCTTGTGTTATATGTTGAATACCTCTGTGTAAAATCCAAAGTGCTGGACAGTATCCCTGCCTTGTCACTTTAGCAGAGTGTTTGCCTCTCACCGGCTACATATACATAGGTTTGTCTGAGGTGGCTGAGGCTGTTTTTAGAAAGGAAATACACAATGGCTCAGTGGGTACAGCAGAGGCCTCTCACCTATGAGCTTGTGGGTTTGATTCCCACCACTAGGTGTCTGTCTGTCTGTCTATTTTGCTGATTCTCCTGCGCAGGTTTACAGTTATATGAATTGGCTTCGCTAAACTGCCCATAGTGTGTGATTGTGAGCTTGTGAGCCCCATACTTGGCTTAGCCTGCCTTGTACTGTCAGGTTTCTGCTACAGGCTTCACCCTGTAATGGATAAGCAATACGGCGGATGTACGGAAATGTTCCGGTCTTATTACTTGACGGATATTACGACAGGAACATGTTTCTTCAGCATCTGCCCAAAACTGAGAACAAGCCAGCAGTAGGTACCATATCCAGCCTCCGATGGTAACGCTTCATGCTGACAGTTCCGATATTTATTTTTTAAGCAACAAAGCTGGAAACATCAACGGGCCGAAATACTGTACGGTACTTCTGGTGTTCAAAACACCAGGCAGCTGCGAACAGACACCAAGCAGAAATACAACAGAAGTCAGACACACTTATGGGTGCGTTGTTATAAAACGGCACACTATATTGTAATCACATTAATTCATGGTCAGATGTGTGGCCATTCATTCATATGAGATAATATATGAACATGCAAAGATAAATATGAATATATAACTGTATCATATGTGTATGTTTATATACAGTTCTGTATTTTAATTAATAATGACCAATAATTAATGGAATTTTTGGAATGAACAGGCATGGCGCCGATTCCCACGCTGTCTCTTTAAATACTGTAGGCAGCGGTGTAGGCAAACGTGTAGCTCACCGTGCGCCAATTTCCCCCGTCTCCGCGGTCACGGCGCTCCGTGCCGAACGCGGGGCTCTGTGACAGGCGGTGCGAGCGCGGACGGGAGGGATCGCCCTGCGCCGCGGCCAGCTACATCACCGCTGACAGCTGCATTTGACCCGCCTCGGATAGTGGGCGCACCAGATCCTCTGCGTACTAAGATCGCAGCCGCCAGCCCTCCTGAAATGATTTCGCCTACTGTGGCTTTTTGATGGACGCGCTTGGCCCATGCTGATGTAGCCTGCGGGGTTTCTGCAGTATCCCGTTGGTCCACGGAGCCGGACCGGGAAGAAAGTACCGAGTGGAAATATTCGGCTGGATCGCGCCTCGGCGACGGGGATCGCAAAGTCTTAACGCCAGTCTGTGGCAGCAACGTGATGCGGACAATTAATAGTGATGCGTCTCATTCGCAAACCACGAGTAAATTGCACTAGCCGTGTTTGATGGCTGCCGCTGACATTAGTTAAAATTCCCTAGATTGGAGGAGCTGATGTTTAACAGATACGGTCCGTCCTGGAGGAACCCCCCCACTCTTGCGAAAGGTAGGAGTTCGGCAATCACCACTCATCGCGCATTATTGAGTGCTGCGATAAAGCGTGATGTCCCGTGTCGGGAAGAAGATCCAGCAGCCGCTAAGAAAGTGTCGATCCCGCATACTAGCCTTTGGGAAACGATTGGATCGGAGCCATAACGTGTTACGTGTTACGATCATGTGAAATAAAAATGATAAGTGAGCAGCTGTATGACTGAGACAGCCCACCAAAGCGGCGGTGGCATCTTTATTGAACGGCTTGAATTTAAATACGTCATGCATTAATCGATTATATGATAACCGATAATCAATAACTGAGAATTGCTTTGCAATGCAATGTGACAAAAGGTGCCAATCTTCTGGTAACTCCTGAGAAGAGGTGACAGCATTCAAATGACCGAACGATTCATACGTGCTTGTATAACATTTATGCAAATATGCCTTTTTAGGCAACTTTGTCAGGTGCAAATGCGATGCGAAGTGCATATATTATGAATGTAATTGATCATCCCAAATTTTGAGCAGTTGTTGTGATTATTTTGTACAGTCCCATGCATTTGAGCACACACATTGCGCTAGGCCTATTTGTATATATTTACTAACACTGACATTTGAATCGACAAATTGTAGATATTGTAGATAAAAGCGCTCTGTAGTTTAAATTGGCGAATTTGCCCGCATTATTTTTTAGCTTTAACAAACTGGAAATGTATAGCAATGTCCGAGTTACACCTTTGCTGCCAGTTGGGTTGCATAACTTTGTTTCATTTGAGGCATGAACTATTTGTTTTCACCCTAAGACGTAGCATTAAACCTGCAGTATTTAAGTCGTAATTAACACACGCCTAATAGAAAGCAGGCATATATATATATATATATGCATATATATATGTGTGTGTGTGTGTGTGTGTGTGTGTGTGTATATATAGTCTTTAAAACGTGCGCACAATTAATGAGACAACTTAGAAGATTTTAATGAGCATGCTTTCAATTACGCTAAATTTCTTACATTTCAAAGCTATGATAAGGGTAATATAATAACATTATAATAACGTGAAATATCTGCAGATAATTTTGTCGGGATCTTATTCCTGGGTCTCGTATTTTCTGGAATCATATGTTAATACATTCAGTTCTGTGATTCCAGTGCTGCAGGCTACATTGCTACGTTTCTAGAAGAATCTCAAAATGTCAGAATATCAATCTAATCAGCACTTCCTCTTAATGTCAATGGGCTTTTATCGGAAATGGCACTCCTCCACAACACCATAATCTAACATAATTTGTATTTTTTAAAACTGCTTAAAGTTAAAGTCTGAACTTTTAATTCATCTTGTGTTTTGCTCTGTTTGGTTTTCCATACTGTGACCATTTGGTTTTCCGAATTTCCATACTGGGAATGAGTTGTGTCTCATGCAAACCCTGAGCGCACGGCATGTTTCTGATGGACGGTTCATTCCAAAGGAATATGTAGGTAGATTATCTGAGATGGCCATGTGACCTTTTTCTGAGCCCGATCCTCCACAAAACTCCCCATAACAGGGTCCCCTTTGTTCTCATCTGCAGAATAATGTGTAACTGAAAACAAACCCCCCCCACCCCCTGACCCAGCGGAGTGCTGTTGTGATTTCCATGCCCGCTCAGTGCCCCTTTAATGGAAGCAATCTTGTAAATTAGTCTCCGGCAGGCAGGCCAAGGAAAGGTGTTCTGGGAGATGAAACCCCCAAGTAACCCAGCTTTGAATTCAGGAAGGGGGGGGTTGTGTTCTTTACAGCCAGGGGTGTCACCCAACATGGCACTCGGATGTGGAGAGGATAGCATGTGTAGCTTAAAGATATAATGCCTCCCAATGGACGGAGGGGCACCCGTGCTTTGCAGAATGTCACCGCGTGCAACACCGTCGTGGCATGTTTTCAGAATGTCAGTCTGGCAAGAAGCTGCACGATCAGCCCAGAGAGCTGAAACTGGCCTGCAGGCTCACTCTAATCTACAGTTACCCAGAATTCCCGGAGACGGGAACATGCTGGGACTTCGAGTGCATGCACACAGGTCGATTTTGCATATTCCTCAAATTCCCCAATTTCCCCCACACCCTTTGAAAAAAAGAAGTGAAATCAAACTGTAAAACAACATAACACACTGTCTAGCACCCATTGCACATGCCACCAGTATCCTGAACTGGCTAGGGCTGGGTCACATGATCGCCCAGTGACGGCATGCAAAGGGAATAATGCGGTCAGTCGCAGGTTAATGTTTGCTTCATTGAATCACGGAGGGGGGAGCTGAGGACAGGCGGCTCGCACTAACTGTCACTGGCTTTGATGAATCGCACCATTACACCGCCGATGACTGTCGTGTGTGATATTCCCCCCCCCCCCCCCCCCATAATGCAGGGGCTGATTCTCCTTTCAAGAACTGGGAGGGAGGCACTCCTAGGTGACTATGTATTTCAAAACCTCAGTGCTGGCCCATAATCTGCATTATCAGTCATGTGGGGGTAAAATGTATCTGTTTGACCCAGCACAGATAAAGGCAGACCTCTGAACAGACTCAGGACCATGGGGCAGGAGGAAACACGAAACATTTTTTGACTAAATCAGTGCTCTGCAGATGCCCCCCCCCCCCAAGTGTTTCCTGGGTAACTGATCTCAGATCTTTGGTGATTGGTGTCCCAAGTCCGATTCAGCTTTCTGGTTGCTTGGGATGCATGCCCTGATAGGTAACCCACCACCCCCCTCCCCCCATTAAGACATTTGTGAATATTAAGCTGACCAAGGACCAGATGTGGTTTCCCAAGAAACATACAGGGTTTACAGAGAATTCTGGAATCCCAGACCGTTGACCTTTTAATTTGCCTGTCAGAAGACCTGGATTTATATCTAGATTGGAACCAGCCTTGTATTGACCCCATACCAGGAAAGGCACATTCTTGTCATGGTTCTTATGGTACATTTGAAGCACACAGGTCGGCTGCTTAATTTAACCTAACATTTGGCCCCATTTTGTAAATTGGGAATGAGTCCAATGTTTCAGGATCCAGCGTTTCCCTCCCTCTGAGCTGTCAGTGCAGCACATGGCCCTTGGAATTACTTTGGCGATTTTCTGCAAGTCATTACGCTAAGAGTGTTATGTGGGGGGTGCCCTTTTCATAGACTCCGAGTCTGAACACTTCTGAGGTATGATGGGGGGTAATGGACGACAGGGAAATCTGGTCCAACAGGCTGATTGAATTTTGCTTTCTGTGGAGCAGCCATGAGGGAACCTGCAGGTAATTTTGACAATTTTCTTCACGTAAGGAGCAGGACTGTCATGACAACAAACCCACTGAAGGCCTTCACTGTGAGGTGAAGATGAACATCCACATAGACGGGGAGCATATGTTTAATCAGTTCTATTCTTCCAGTTGGTGGCTCACCACCAACTCGTTGACTAAGAGGGGCTCAAACACAATAGAACAATATTTTCCTGTACAGGCTCGTTGGTAGTAGACTATGTGTGTGGAAGCTGCTTGTTGGCATGGTGTTAGTCAGGGGCCTGTTGGCTGGCAGAGTGCTGGTCAGCGGCCTGCTGGTGGGCAAGGTGTTGGTCAGTGGCCAATTAGTTTTCAGCATTTTGGTCAGTGGTATGTTGATTGGCAAAGTAATGTTCAGTGACCTGTTAGCTGAAAAAGTGTTAGTCAGTGGCCTGTTAGCTGGCAGGGGGTTGGTCAGTGGCCTGTTAGCTGGCAGGGCGTTGGGCAGTGGCCTGTTACTTGTAAGG